TAAAGTCACTGGATTTATTAGCGACGAGATATTTTAGTGGCGTCCTACTGTGGTTCCCTCTCGTGACGTCATTACTCGCAAGTAAGAAGTTCGACGGTGTTTGTAATTAGCATGGTGCAAGCTTGAAATCATTGCACTTTGAAACCAACGCTGCCAACACCGCCAAATGTGAAGTTCTTCCATTCCTCTTATTTCCGTCAAAGAGAAATCCTTTCCTGACGTCACAGACAGCATTCGTCCAATCGTGGAAGGCCGATCACAGCGACGCTTTTGATCGCGCACGTCGTTTGCTTGACACCGGATGCGGTCGAGATCTGCTTTGCCCAACGGTTTTGCTGGAGAACTGCGAGATTTCATTGCCGTCTAGTCTTCGAGAATGTTTTGAAGACGATGCATTCAGGACGTAGTGATGCCATGGCAAGGCGCAATGCCTTGTTAGCGCTGCCGCGCGCCTGCCTTTCACTTTCAGGAGTACCGCGGCCGACGCCGCGAGCTCTCCGGGAATCACAAGGCAAACCCGGACGGTCACATCCCCTTAGTGCTGGATTGACTCTGCATGATGGATTGTAGCGTCCTCATGATACATCTCGGCTATTCGGTGGCCCCCGTTTTATGTGTTTGCTGATTACATGGACATTTGCATCTCTCGACAACTGTGCATGTCAGCCGCCATAAAATATACCTTGCGTTTTTGTTTCCTCCTTATCCTTATTACTTCACTTCATCATTGCCACAGGTTACCGCCATTTTAGGTCCCACGGAGTCCTTCTTCGCAGCATTGGCCTTTGTGAAGAGGCTCGCCAACGCCCGTTTCAGTTGCTTCGTATGTCGGTATAGACGAGAGAAAGTCAGCAATTACGGCTGTAATTTGGCGCTTGTCTAAGGCGTCTAGGTACTCAAGGATCTATTTCACCATAAGAGCAAGCGAAGCCCAAGGCACGAGCTCAGTGGTTTCATGGCCCGTACTAACGTCACACTAGCTGCCATTGTGGTGGCATTGGTATCTTTTGCAGCGCAAACTGTGTACCGTCGCTTTTTCATTAATTTTTTTTGCAAAAGGAAGTAAAATGCACACCGACACGGTGAAAGAACGTTATGTGCAAGCTACGTGAAGCGATAACTCTCCCGAACTTTGCGACTTCTTGCCTTTTGAGCTACGCGACGCCGTAGATTCAAAGATCTGAGTTGGATGACCACATTCACGGTTGTCACGGGATCATCATCAACGCCCGCCTTGGTTCACGCACGTAGCGAATGTGAAAAAACATGGCATTTCTATACAGATAATTAAATGTAATATGGCCCGAGTCTCACGTTCTCACGCACCCATGATGCTTTTTTTTTTTTTTTTTTTTTTGCAAATATAGCGTAGGCTAAAAAATGACCGAGATGTGAAGAGGCAGATAGAACCAAGGAAGTCGAGCCAGCGCTGTGAGCCAAAATCCCCGGATAAAAATCACGCTTGGCGTTTCTTACAAGAACCGAAAATCGCTAGTGGCGAGCGCGTGGGAGAGGCGTACCACGAAACCACGAGCGAAGCCGCACCACTGTTTTTTGTTTTGTTTTTGTTTTTCAGTGGCCGCTCCGTAGTCGCTCATTTTAGTGCTGCGGTGCCATTCGCTTCCTTAAGTGTTGCATGCGTACTTGATGATTTGATGATGGTTGCGAGACATACAAACACATCAAGGGGCTTTACTGAGGGCGTGTGACTCTTCGGTGTGACCTAGGGACTCGCGGAGCGTGTGGTTCCTTTGCACGTGCTTACCGAAAGATAGGCTGCGTAGGTCGTGGCATCGGCCGCGTTCACTCTAAAATTGAAAGTGAAAACTCGTCGTGGCGGCGGCGAGACATTGCACGTTTCATGGACTAATTTGCTCCTTTATTTATCTATTTTGTTGGTAATTTTGTGGTCCTTTCATTCTTACGCAGTGTTACTTTTCTTTTTTCTTTGTTTTTGTGCCGCGGAGTGTTTTTTTGTTAACAACACGTATTTCATTTGGTCTCATGGCCCCACATACCAGCAGAATTCTGCTTCTGTGAGCCAGCTGTTTATTTTGTATGTCTTGATTTAGAATAAATATTGGATTGAATTGAATTGAACTCCACGGCATCGGTACTTCATACATCTGTCGCCTCTCATTGGTCCTAGTTTTGTGTGGTGCAGCAGACCGAAATGTCACACAGACCGTTCTCCGGCAAAACGGAAAAACTGATCTCGGCGGTGAAAAGACGAGTCGCCGCACAAGCAAGCTCGTGAAAACAGCAGCAGCAACAACAAATGCTAGTAGTAGTAGTAGTAGTATGCGTTTTGGGGAAGGGGGTTGGGAAGCCGACTGTTGTTGGGGCGTACTTAGACGCCCATGTCAGAGTCTATAACAAATGCTCTGGCTTGGGGCATTTGGTACTGCATGGTGCCATCTCGTTGAACCCATTGAAAATAAATTTAGCGAAAACGTCCTTCTCAAATTTATTTACACAAATACGCAAACACTGAGACATCTAGGCTTCCCGTAAGGGTCTTAGAATTAGGATAGGAGATACCTCTAGTGCGTAATACCATTCGTTCTGTCAACGCGTTGTCATCTAACTGATTTTAATTTAAAAATTGCCTCAAAATGCGCTCAAAACAGTCAAAAGGGTCATATTTGTGGATTTTATTAAAATTCTCCCGCGCCCTCAGGGGAAAATCTAAGGGTCGTACGATCTTAATTACATCTTCATGATAAACCTAAAAAATAATCAATACCCAGGTGTATTCCTGAAACGCAGGTTTGGGTAGCGAAACTTTCCCATTAAATGACGAACGCGTGAATCCCCTTATACCCGTGTCACACGGGCAACTCGAATGCCATTTGCAAAGAATGACATTCGTGTGATCGACGAATCAGCTCGCAATCTTTCGCGCGTGGAATGCGCTACGCCCGGAGTGTCGCGCGCTGATTGGCCGTCCGCTCAAATGTCATTCGTTGTAAATGGCATTCAAGTTGCCCGTGTGGCACGGGTATTATACCTGCGCCACGCGGGCAACTCTAATGCCATTTATTCCCCTCGATGGAGTGACACTCCTTCAGCCAGTTCACTGTATTGCGCCCTGGAAGAGACTGCCAGTGTGTTGCGACTGGTCTCTTGCCAAAGTTAATAAGCACACTGCCGCTTCGACCGTCATCTTTCGAAAAATTCAAGAATCGCAGCGAAATATACTGGTTATTACCAGTTTTATACTGATGGTGCTAAGGCTCCATCATTTGCCGGATGCCTCATGCACTCTGTGAACATTTCTAGGGTTAAACACTTGAATTCAATTGCAGGTATCTTTACAGCGGAACCGTATGCAGCATTTCTAGCAGTCGATTACATTAGGCTGAAAAGAATGGCAAGGCCGATTGTATTTGTAGGCTCGTAAAGTGTAATCGCTGCCATTATCTCCCTGAAGGACACCAGGAATACGCTCGTACAGCTTGTGCGTGCCATGATTATTACAGCATTGCAGAACGAGTGCCAAGTCACGTGGTTATATTAGGCAACGAGAAAGCTGATAGGCTCGCTTCATCCTTCAAGAACCTGCGGCAATCAGCTGCCTCGATACCCTACCAGGACATTAAACCAGTCGTGAGGGCGTCAGTTTTCGATAGGTGGCAGAAAGAATGGGAAAGATAATCTGAAAATAAGCTTCACAAATTAAGCCCATTCTTAGATTGTGGGAGATTACCTCTTTCAGGAATCGGGTCCACGAGGTCCTTTTATGTCGTCTTCGCGTAGGCCATTCGTATACGATCTACAAATATCTCCTCTGTGACGAAGTTCCACCACGCTGTGAACACTGCGGAGATATTGTGTCCATCACTTTAGGCGTTTGCTCGAGGACAAACGACGGCATCATTTTTCCGAGTTTTTTTAGATACCGTAAACCCTTTTACCCTGTTTTTTTCTTCTTTACTGGGAGATAACCCTCTCATCTTATTTGATCGTGTGGTGAGTTTTATTTTTGGCACTGGCCTTTTACACCAGATGTAATACCGCACATATCTGTAAAGTCACAACATACTGAAAAAATATAATATATAACCTAGTTTGGCGCTTTTTGACCTAAGTTGTATTTTGCGCCATAAAACCCTTAATCATCATCATCATCCTTATGAATCACTGGAACAGCTGTGCTTCGAACAACGCGTGCAAAGAGATGTCTCGGTGAAGGGCGATTAACACACTTGCTTGATTCCGACCGAGTGCGGCTGCAACGGCTTGCGACGTTATTGCTTTTACGGGTTGCTATGGCGACGGGGTCTTAAGCCGCTTACAACCGCCCCGTTGGCGTAGCAATCCGTAAAAAGATTAACGTAACAAGCCGTCGCAATCGCACTTGGTCGCGGACTTACGCAAGTGTGTGAACCAGCCTTGACTCTCGCAGACGTAAGCTCCCGTAACTTAACGTAACGTAACGTAAGAAAACGCGGCTGTGTGGACGGGCCTTTAAGGTTGGTTCACACACAGCACCGTTTTATTGTGTTACACATAACTCACCGAAACATCCGTGTCTCGAAAATCGCATGCCGGGCCATCTCCTTGAACTAGTAACCACGCTTATATGAAGCGGAGGTGTCCCGGTGATTTGTACGTAAGCTGTCATAACGAAACGTAAGCGTTAGAAAACAGGGCAGGTGTGAACCAGTCTTTACTACAGGGAACAGTAAAGCGTCCTCCAGACGCCGGTCTTCAAAACCTGTGTATTCCATAGAGTACAATGTAGTTACCATAGCAACCGTCGCCAAATTGGTGACGCGACGATCGACAAAAGTCGGACCTTGGGGTGCTGGTGGGTTTCGAACGTGGAAGTAGAGTCTAAGGGCAGCCCCGTAACTGAGTTTATCTAGTAACGTTGGTGCCCATTATTGCATTGTCACAAAAAGTTGCCGTCAAGTATAAAAAGGAGTGCGGCATCGAACGACGCGGTTACGCATGCGGGAAGAAAGACACACGGACACAAGAAGAGTTCCTAGGAGGTCGCCCAGGTATCAATGTGTAATGTACAGCTCATGACTTAATAAATAGTTAATGCGTGGAAGGAAAATGGCGGAGAGAGGGGGCTCTTGGTTGCCCTCTTTCCTTGTAGGGAGGACGTCGGGAGGGTGGGCGTAGCCGAGTGCCGCGCGCGCGTCGCTGTCGCCGCCTGAGGTTGGCCTCTCTGGAATGTTGGGACCTCGCCGACCAACGGGGTTCCCGCAAGAGTGTCCGCGCGTAGAGTCGTGCCGTCGTCTCGGCCGCGGACGTCCGCTTGTCCGGTGACCGCGTCTTCCGGGAAGTCCGGATGCCGGCCCCTCTGGCGGGCTCGTGCCTTCTAGCTAGGGTCCGTCGCGAGATGATGCGGGCAAAGCGGGGTCACTTGGCCAGGTCGTCGCCCGCCGGTTGGCAGCTGTACACGTAACAGGAGATGGCCACGTCGTCGCGGTCTTGTCGACAGCTGGTTCCCTCCGGACAGGAGCAGCTGCGGTAACAAGAAAAGACGCGACAGAAAGTAAATTTGGGGACCGATTCTTCGTTGGTATTATGGGGATCAATAGAAACTTTTTCTTAAATACCATGAAAAATTCCATCGGTCATGATTTCTTGGGTACGAAGTGTGTGAATGGATCCGAGTCCTCGCCGAACCACTGACGTAATACTCGTTCTCAATACAAGCGCAGCCGAGCTTACACCGGACGCTGACGCTGCCCTCGTGTCCAGTGCGTGCACCCAAAGGGTGCACGCACCCAAAGAATGGCGTACTGGGATAACTGGTGCAGCAGCTACTCGATGGCGCGCACTCTTGAAAAGCCTCTATTCCTCGTTGTTTAGCCAGCTTGAAGCCCCTCGATCTCCGTCGATGCGTTGCGTTTCCTTCGCTTAAGCGAAATGACGACGCCCGTTTTCATCGCTGATATGTGTTTCGAAGTGACCCGAAATGAGAACGAGCCACTCTCGAAATGGAGCGATCAACCTATTTCATTGGTATAGCCCCAGTGCAGACATTTGCGTTTTGAGTGTGATAAGACTGCGTTACGACGGCTTACGACCGCTTTACGGCGCGAGTGTACACACACTGAAAGACTGGCGCTATCGGTATAAGATTGCGCTGGAAACGCTTCCGTCAAGCGTGTAACTAGACACAAGTTTTAGAACTACATTTGCGAGGTGGTCTACGGCCTATGACAAACTGCCGCTTGTAACGCTGCCAGATTTATTTTAAGCGCGGGATGAGAGAATTGACGCGCAAACAAAATTAGGAAATCTACGCTATACTCTGTTTCACCTTCAGTCCGAGCGCAGCGGACGCTAGGAGCCATCTCAGCCAATCCAGCGTTGAGAGAGTGTCGTCGGTGTCGTGTGACCTTGAGCTCCCTGTGGCGCTCTGCCCAACCGAAAGGTCACGCGATTTTCTCCCGGCGGTGGATCGGCTGGGATATCTCGCGGCGTCCACTGCGCTCGGACTGAAGGTGGAACGGAGTATAGTCGGCAATGTTCCGGGGCTACCGGAAAGATGGCGCCAGTAGCAAGCGGTTACAAGTAGAGAGCGAAGATTTGAGAGAGTCTCCAACTGCTCGCTCGGGGTCACGTAGTTTATGGGCCGGTGACGAAAGCATTGATAGTCTGCAAGCGTCTCGGTCTCTCCGCCCGATTTCCTTCTTGCCACCGTCCAACGCAGCGCATTCGAACTTCCGATCAATCGGCGCGGGAGGTGTCCGCCGTTGCAAACGATCCCCATGGTTTAATTTGTTCTCTCTCTTAAGTCGAGGCTCTCTAGTTACAAGCGTCTGAGTGTGGCAGGCAAGGCTCGCCACTTGAAGATATAAGGGAGTTTTAGTAGATCGTTCCGAACACTCCGATCACGACACCCCGCGAAACTCTGCCGATGCTTTTGAGATGCATCATATCGTTAGCGGAGGAGCGATCAATACGAAACCTTCCCGTATTCACCATCCGCAAGCCACCTGAAGCACAGGATCGTAACGTAAGTCGTACAGTAAAGACCTTTTCAGCGACGATACTCACACTTCCAGGTACTCGACCGGAGTTCTGTTCACTGGATCGTAGACCGACCAACCGCAGGGGGCATTGTCTTGACACACCGCAGGCGCCCGATTCATCGCACTCCTCTGCGAACAGAGAGAGAGAGAGAGATAAATAAATGAAATACATACCTTCCTTTCTAGGTAACAATTTCTGTCTTAAGCTTATTCAATCCTCCGGTAGATAAAACCCTTGTCCGGTTTGTTTCTACCTAATTCAGACTTATAGAGATGACTGAATAAGCGCTGCAGGTCAGCGATTGCAGCGTGGGAGGGGGGGGGGGGGGTATGCTGAATGTAAAAGCGAATGATGATTACCGTATAATCTCGAACGAACTCCACTACCGGAAAGACCACCCATTTCATGTTTCTCCCTTTCATCTCTTCGCGATGGGTGGGCGTTCATTCGGGATTTTACGGTTATTATTCTTTGCTCAGATTTTACCGTGAGGCCTTTGCGAACAGTGATCTTCCTATGCAGGGCCAAGATTGAGCGTGCGTCTAAGAGCGTACCTCTATCAATAAGTCGTCGAACGAAGAGCAAAATTTTAACAATGTAACAGCGACAAGGATTTCATGAATATTTCGAATGGACGTGTATGGTATAAAAGTTACGAGTTAATATGTTTTCGACGCCTTAAACGGGGATCCCTTATTTCAGTCTGTAACTTACCCAAAGATAAACCGATACCGTAAACCTGACAATAGAAAGTTTTAGGGAACCGTTTTTGCACATCCCGTATGGTACAATGGGCCCTCCAGTACGAACTGCGCATGTGCGAGTTGTCGGTGGCAGCGCATGCGCAGTGCGTATCGGAGGGCCCATCGTATCGTATGGGATGTGAAAAAACGGTTCCCTAAAACTCTCTAATGTGACAGCAATTCAATAACACGCAAAAACAAAAGGAAAACGCAGAGACGTAATGGTTTTCAGGTATTTTGAGGAAGTTGCACCTGATAACGTTTCTAGGAATGAAGATATCGTTGAAAGGAGATTTGCGCGTGATATTGGCACATTTGGAGACACAACTAGTATCGCCCGGTAAAGACGAGAAATACTGTAGGCCCAAATGCGCTTACTTACGCTCTAATCAAACCATTAAGGAAATATGTTTTCCCTTAGTAGTTAAAGGACTGTACCCAGTGGAAGGTGTAGTCTCAGCAAGCACCACAGAGAATGCCGGGAACACGCGCTGACAGCACTGGCGTCTGCAGCTGTGACTGTTTGAAAGCAAAAAAATCTAAAACAAAATTTACTTGGCACGGGCGTGTTCCTTAACGCGTTCTTTTGAATATTTACTTGGAATCTTTTATGCGAAAAAGACGAGCGCGTCCAGCGCATGTACTTAAGTATCCAGCATTCACTTTGGTGATGAGGTAATTTAGCGAAAAATCCATTGCTGAGACAGTATCACCGACAAAAGTGCCCCCCTGGCGAAGTGGAGGCCACACCAACACACCGTTTATAAACAAGCGCGCGTTTGTCCACATGTCGGCACTACGCGTGAGCAGAAGTCAGATTTGTGTGAGTTGAAGCGTCTGGGCATGCGCAATGCCGACAGTAGCGCCACCGCAATGTCGGGAGTTCAGGGAGTTGGTGTTTGATCACTGACAAGCCGAGGAAGGAGCCTCGGTTGCCCAGTCTCCAGTTCGAACATCAAACCTTCGACAATGCTCCGACCTATCGTGCACATCGAGCGCGCGTGCACGGTCAAAAGATCGCGGAAGACGTGGGAGCACGTGCTGGATGCCGGGCGTTCGAAAAACAGAATGCGTGGTTTACTTAATTAAATTAAATATGCCCTGTTCAATGGTGATGATTTGTGAAGACGGCTTCACGAGTTCTGCGTTTTGATAAATATGACAAGTTAAAGTAAAATAAACTTTGCGCTAGCCGCTGTCGATTTAGTTGTGAAGGTTGTGAAGAACTAGACCATACGAAGAATAAATAAATAATACAACTGTCAGCACCAGTGGGGAAAAATACATATGCAAAGTGTACAAAAAGCGTGCACCTGCTGTTTTCCTGCTTCCCGTTTATTGGCGACGTGAGCGATCGAAAGCGTCGCTGTGGTCGGCCTCCTTCGATTGGCCAAATACTGACTATGACGTCAGCAAAGGTTTTCTCATCGACGGAAATAACAAGAATGTCAAAATTTTAATTTTGATGGTGATGGCAGGGCTGCTTAAAGAGCGCAATGCTTTCAAGGTTCCACCATGCTAATTACAAACACCATCGAACTTCTTGTCGCAAGGTAATGACGTCACGAGAGGTAACCACACGGGGGTGCTACCAAAACATCTCGCCGCTAATTAGTGGCGAGATGTTTCGGTGGCGCCCTCTTGTGGTTTCCTCTCGTGACGTCATAACCTTGCGACAAGAAGTTCGATGGTGTTTTGTAATGAGCACGGTGGAAGCTTGAAATCATTGCGCTCTCAAAGCAACGCTGCCAACACCGTAAAAATTCAAGGTCTCACATTCGTGTTATTTCCGTCGATGAGAAATCCTTAGCTGACGTCACAGTCAGCATTCGGCCAATTGTTGAAGGCCGACCACAGCGACACTTGCAAACGCGCACGTCGCCAATAGGCTGCATCTTCGAAAGATCATAAAAGCACTGTGGAGTAGACCGATCTCACCAGCCAGTTTGACTACGACACCGCTGCCGCAATGCATCGAGGGAAGTTTAGTCTTTCTGCGCGTGCGACAATCTCGCTGGAGCTCTACGCTTGCAGGGCGCGAACAGTCTCGTGCACTGCCGAATGCCTCCTGTGAACTAAAGTTGTGGCTGCCTCGCTCATGCGCCAAACGCTTTGTGAGATTGGTCTATTGCGGCTGTTCAAGAGACCCAGATGCGTTTGTTTTCTCAGTCCCGTTAACTTAATAAAAATAAATGAAAGCTGCTATCTTTTTTAGAGAAAGTTGTTTATCAAAAGAGAGACAGAGAGGAAGAGAGAGAGGAGGCGAGGTCACTCGCTTCCTCTCTCCGTTCGCCTCTTTTCCAGCGTTCGCTCTGCTAAATTGGAAAGAGTGGAAGGCTTTGTGGGTGAAATGAAAACGTTAGGATTGATGTTGGGACACTTTTATTTGTCCATCTTATAAACCAAGAGTTTACGGACGATGTCGGACGATTTATCCAACTGCATAATCATTGAATGAAGCTCAGTACGATCTAAGCTAGACGGCGTTATGCTGCAATCGGGGCCTAACGCCACTGGTGCCGACGGCACCGCCTGTTCGGATGCCGGGACGGAGACGCAAACGTAAATACATAAAAGTGACGCGACGTAAAAAAAAGAGCAAAACAAAAAGGACGTGTGAACGCTGCATTGGGTTGGTAACAACCGCAGCGAAATCGAGTGACGCCTTGAATATTAAGAAAAAAAAAAAAGGGTTATAATCGCAGGAAGTGCCAGTAAAGCGTTAGTGTTTTCCAGGTGCAATTATATTCGGGAACAACGTTTCTTGGCATTTCCAGGGAGAGAAGAACCCGCGCACAGCTTTATTCAACGCTCAAAATGGGAGAGCGGACACGTGCCTGTACCTTCCTCTGCATTGCCAAGAAAAGTTGTCGTCGAGTATAGCATACTCATGAAGAGTTCGACGTAGTCGATTCGCGACTTTGTACTTGTTATTTGTCTTAACTCATAATTCAACTAATCAATTTGCCCTTAATGACATCTAACATTGGCATTAGCGTGTATAAAAGTGTGCGTATCAGGAGGCGGGCTTTTCCTCAATTTGTTTTTTTCTCTTGTCCCGTACTTTCCCTTAACGCAAGTCATATAAAAGGTTAAATTCATTAGTCCTTTCCGTGTTCTTCTATCGAACACCATGAGGACAGATTTAATACCCCAAGGGACGTGTTGAGTATTTTCAACAAAAAGCAAAGGCACAGTGTACTTATTGCATATGACGAGATGTTGAACAAAATTTCTAGGTGTTCTGCCCGACAGAATCGTATTCTGCCGGGCAGAAAACCGGTTCCCAGTTTCCTTCTCTCCACTCCTTTCCGCACTTTTGTCTCCTCCTCTCCCAATGGGGCGGGTTTTTGAGAGGTCAGAAAGGAGAAAGGTCTTGCTCTTTCTCGAATGGAAAGGAGGAATCGAGGGTGAGTTTCATCCTTTCTGGCAGCTTGTCAGTCAAAAACTAGGGCTGGGCAATTGATCGATTAACCTACCGATTAATAAATTAATGCTTTAATCGCGATTTTTTTTTGAATCGGTGAAATGTTGACGAATTGATCGAAAGTAAAAATTAAACTCTCTCACCGCGCAAATGTGGACGTGTACACCTGTATGGAGTGCTATCTTTAGGTAAAACGTTAACCTAAAGTGAACTGTAGGGGTAGGGTCTGTAACTCCTGACAAGTACAGAAGGTTACAAGTGTCCCGGCTACTTCAATGCCATGGGAGTGTCCGTTTAGTTCAGCAGAGACTATTGTGAACCACCAAAAAGGGTCGCTCTTGCCGGAGAATATCTTTGCCTCGTCAGCTGAAGTAATGTTTTGTGAGCGTGAGTGTCTTTCAACTGTTAACTACACATATAACTTGATTCATAATCAAATTCTATATTGCGCCGTTTAACACACATTCAGCACAAACCAAAAATCATATAATTTTTATTTTTTAAAATATTATGAATGTAAATGAACGAGACCGATTAATCGATTACTTAATTCATTAAAGAATGCCGATTATTCGGGTTGAAATTTTTCAATCGACGCCCAGCCCTAATGAAAACAGAGTACCATACGATGGTCTTTTTAGGTTCCCGACTATATGGCTGGCGCAGGCAATCACGGCGCAAAAGAACTCGAGCGAGCTGGAAAACGCCACCTCCTCGTATAAACCTTTTCATCTCAGTAGTTACCCGACCGGTGGATAGAGGGCACTGGCGCACTCGGCACCACTGGGTGGCTTCAATTTGGTTGGTTTCGGTTTCAGCGCGCTCGCGGCTGTGTTTACGTGTTATGTCATTTTCGCCTAATTTCGTGATACAAATGTTCCGTCTATAGCACTAAACTAATAAAACTGTGGTATTGAGCCAGTTTGAGAAGCACAGAGTGGTATCGAGTAATATTCGC